TAGAGTGTTTTTTCCGCTATACTCCATACATACTCTGGCAAAATACACTGTCTAGGCATGTATTTGGGAACTATGATTTGAATATTCGAGAGTAAACATAATCAGAGCAAAATGACCAATCAGTGCTTGTTTTAGAAGTAGGAAATGAAATGGGTTTTTTCTACGAAGTGGTTGATTGGTTCATTGTTATTGAGGGAAAGCACTGTATTGAATACTACTACTGTTGGCATATTTTACGGGTAATTCCTTATGGTAACCTACCATGTGTCAAATAGTGGCAAGTCTATCACAAGATGTGCTTCTGATGTCAGATTAGGCGACACTCAGCAACATACATTTCATGAGTTTTAGTTTCACATTCTTTTTTTATAATATTATTAAATGTGAATATTAAATGGTATTATAAATGACAATGTTGTTAAAACATTAATTAAAATTAATTTGGCATTTCAGTAGTTTGTTAATTAGTTAGCTATGCAGGTGTACAATGATCTTATTGGTTAACTATGCAGGTGTACAATGATCTCATTGGTTAGCTATGCAGGGGTACAATGATGTCATTGGTTAGCTATGCAGGTGTACAATGATCTCATTGGTTAGCTATGCAGATGTACAATGATGTCATTGGTTAGCTATGCAGGTGTACAATGATCTCATTGGTTATCAATGCAGGTGTACAATGATCTCATTGGTTAGCTATACAGGGGTACAATGATCTCATTGGTTATCAATGCAGGTGTACAATGATCTCATTGGTTAGCTATGCAGGGGTACAATGATGTCATTGGTTAGCTATGCAGGTGTACAATGATCTCATTGGTTAGCTATGCAGATGTACAATGATGTCATTGGTTAGCTATGCAGGTGTACAATGATCTCATTGGTTATCAATGCAGGTGTACAATGATCTCATTGGTTAACTATACAGGTGTACAATGATCTCATTGGTTAACTATGCAGGTGTAACTGATCACATTGGTTAGCTATACAGGGGTACAATGATCTCATTGGTTATCAATGCAGGTGTACAATGATCTCATTGGTTAGCTATGCAGGTGTAACTGATCACATTGGTTAGCTATACAGGGGTACAATGATCTCATTGGTTATCAATGCAGGTGTACAATGATCTCATTGGTTAGCTATGCAGGGGTACAATGATGTAATTGGTTATCAATGCAGGTGTACAGTGATCTCATTGGTTAGCTATACAGGTGTACAATGATCTCATTGGTTAGCTATGCAGGTGTACAATGATCTCATTGGTTAGCTATGCAGGGGTACAATGATCTCATTGGTTAGCTATGCAGGTGTACAATGATCTCATTGGTTATCTATGCAGGTGTACAGTGATCTTATTGGTTAACTATACAGGTATACAAGATGTAACTGGTTAGCTATACAGCTGCAAAATGATCTCATTGGTTAGCTGTGCAGGTGTAAAGTGATCTCATTGGTTAGCTGTGCAGGTGTAAAGTGATCTCATTGGTTAGCTATGCAGGTTAGCTGTACACATATTCAATGATCTCACTCAAACTAACAAGTCCAGCACAGCCATAAACAAAGAATAACTTCACTACCCCAGGATATTTGTACATTAATAATTTAAACATTGGACATTTTAAAATGGTACTCGAGGGAATAAATCAGAATATTTAGCAATTACTGTAAAAAATAACCCAATAAACCATCAATCACTGCCAGGGTGTGTCAGAGAGAAACCTTTTCATTATATTTGGTGACTAATGAAATCATTAATCTGCACAGTGAATAACCGGAAGTTTAGTTTATGTGCTTCTCTTGTTACTTCAATAAAATCCTACCCTACTCCATTTCTAATCCTTTAGAGGGACTGCCCTGCACAAAATCTTTGTATTTAATTGATTGAAAACAGATACATTACAATGTATTTCTTGCAAATTTAAAAACAAACAAACAAACTTGAAGAACAGCTACAGCTGACAAAACAGCAATGTTACATCCACTATCGGAAGAGAAAATTTATACCTTGGTTGCTAAGCAACCATTGATGTCTTGCTAAGTTCTTCATTTTTCATTCTGTATTTATCAAGCTTTTTCCATTATTTGTGCCTTGCTCACCCACACAAACAACTTGTGTTTCGATTCTCTGATGTTATATTTGTATCATGTTTGATACCTTTCATTTTGTTGTCTTGCGTCTAATTTCCCCATACACACACATATACCATAATTGTTTTGATAGAAGCATATCTACAATAGAAGTACTACTGAGGCATAATTTTGATCTAGATCAGTAGTCCATTGAAAATTATATAAATTATTAAAAATTATAAGAAATTATTTAAAATATATTGAAATTTGCAAAATTGTGACAACAATTTGCCGGGGAAATTAAAGCATTCAAGGGCATGAAAACCGCTGTTTAAACCTGTGTATTATACATTAAATGCACCCACGTGTGCTTCTAGTATATACCATATAATAGTATATATACTTGTACGCGAACGGAAAAATTAGTTTGCCTTATTTTTGAGCCATTTATACAATATTGAAAGATCGCTTTAATAATGGATGAGGTGCTTCCTGCCCATTTTTTAGAACAACAGACGGCCGTATCCATGGTGAATATTAGATCTGATACATGTGTTTGGATGAATACAGTTATCTGAATAATATGATTAATTTACATATATGATATTGTAATGATCAATCAAGCTTGTCCTCAGCAGATGTGAATCACATTGAGGGTTTTTTTTTCACATGCCTAGGGAGTTTTAGAAAATTATACACTGATATGCCAAATTGACTTTTTCAACTCAGGTATAGAGGACCGAAATTCAACTATTTTATTTTTATTTACGCCTATCGCCCCTCCTGAGACATAGGCCGTCAACCAGGTTCCTCCTGGCAGAGCGGTCCTGAGCCAGCATCTCCAGTTCTTTCCATGTGCGGCCCATCTTCTTAACATCTGCCTCCATGTCTCTGCGCCATGAGTTACAAGGCCTTCCCCTCTTCCTTTTTCCTTGAGGATTCCAAGTCAATGCCTGTCTAGTAATATTAGGCATTGGTTTCCGTAGGGTGTGGCCAATCCACCGCCATCGTCTTAGCAAGAGCTCTGCCTCAATGGGTTGCTGGTGAGCAATCTTCCACAAGTCTTGGTTACTAATTACCTCAGGCCAGAAAATTCTGAGGATACGCCTAAGACAAGTATTGATGAAGGTCTGTATTTTCCTAATAATGGCAACAGTAGTTCTCCAACTACGGTACAAATATAAAATATTGCGACTGTCAGCTCTGTGAAGCTGTACGAATCATGAACTCATTTGTGAGATTCAGATTGGATCTTTAATTTCAATGATGATGGGGATAACCAGTAGTGACTTTGATCAAGCAAATGTGGTACAAATTAAAGATTACTTTTTTTTTTTACTTCTCAATTACTTCTCACAGCCAAAAATCCAAACATGGCAATAACATTAGACAAAGCGACAATGACACTATTGTACGAGTGGAGATTTCAAGAATACTTCGGAACAAGAAATCAAGATGTAAAGTAGAAACACATGTATTGCCAGTCTTATATCAATTATTGAGGTAACACAGCGGGCCTATTGACATACAAGAACCTGAGGAACGTGCCTGCAGTGACCCACATATATCACCCGTGTGAGCATTAACTACCAATTTTAAAGTTGTAAGATACATGTAGTCACTGATTAACCGATCGGGTCTAAAAGGGAAGCTACCTATCCCAGGGACTGCACCATGGAATTGTGGGACATCGTTTATAATGTCTGAATTACTATTTATTTTTCAGGCGTTGCTAAATTGCCCTATAAAAAGAAAAGAACATGCCCTTCTAAGCTTTACTGTAAGATTATTACCGTTATTTGTTGCTGAAGGGGGTGTCAACTTGTTCAATTGACTTAAATGCTTCAATGCCCTAAACCGAAAATCCAGCATGTTCATACTTCTGTATACTAACTTTCTATGATGTGGAATTTAAGCTTGTTGAAGGTCAACAATGGCACGGACCATGGTGACGAAACGTAATACACATCACAGTCACAAAATTTTACATTTCAACACAAAACGCTAAAATATGCACAGATGTACCGAGATTCGAACTTCCCTCACACTCCCATCAATACTTTTAAATCTTGTTTTATTTTCTGTACCAGTGGGAATATCAATCATTAAACTGAGAATTTCACAGAAATCATGACAAATAACCTGTTTTATTGAACACCTGGCTATTTAACACAAAACACCCACATTTCATCACCATTGCCAACTTTTGTAACCTTCTACATAAAATAGTGCCACTAAAATTGATTTTGTTTGAGTAAAACATTTTCAACGAAATTTGAAAACATAAAACAAAACTAGAGTTATTCTGCAATGAGATATTTTTTTTTCATTCATTTATCAAAATGACCATTATTTATCTGAAATGAACACCTTGGTATGGTGCGGTCCTAAACGTAATTGTACCAAACTACTAATTACGTGCCTTTGGATGATACATGCCTTGGAATGAATTATAGTTACAAAACAATCTAGTCAATGAATTTCTCTCTTTGACTGACACGATTAGTAGTCACCATGGCAACCAGGTGCAGCTGTTCCGCTCTTTGAATTCTACGTCAACTTCCGCAGGAAACTTCACCCATTTTTTTGCAACATTTCTTAGGCTAGGAACCCAGTAAATATTTATTACCTGTGAGTAAATTCTCATTTATTATTTTTCTGACTTAATCAATCTTGTTTTTATCTCCTGAATACAAAAGTGGAACTTGATGGAAATGAAGATTGACGATTTCTGTTTTGTTATTTTCCGACTTAAAAAGTATCATGAGTAGCAATGATATATCATGAGACATTTCCCAGGTTGTCATGGCAAACACTGATCACAAGACACAGAGACAAACATGGCAATAAAAATTCCCAATCCCAATGCTTAACGTTTGGAAATAAAATTTACTACCTTATTACGAAAAACGACTTTCAAAGGTCAAAAAATCTGTCAGAATTTATCAAACATATGGTTGAGAATGTGTAATAAACAATATCTGGGAATTACAAACCGCATCCAACGAAGCATCTGTAGCTGAGACTAAGTCCCTGAGTGTTACCATGGATGAATCGCTCTAAGTCGAATAATTTTCAATTTAGCATCAATATATCACAAAAAAAAAAAAAAACTAGTTAAAAAGAAAACATTTCCATTAAATAGCTGGGTAAGTGAAAACAAAAATCATAAAAATTATAAATCATTCCACAAATTTATTTATTTATTTTTTCTTTATGATAAATGTTACAGAATTGAACCAATATTTCATTTTAATGAGAACTTTTGGAAAAAAACAAAAAAACTTCATTTTTCAAAAATATATATATAAATACATCATGAATGTCATGTGGCATCAAGAAGAATGCTTTAAATGGATTAAGTTAAAAAAGTGCTTCACATTTTAAAAATAAAATCTGGATAAATTAAGTATTTTTTAATATTTTATAATATTTCAATGAAGCATTAATTATCACAATATTTGCTACACTCACTGGAGGAATTTGCAAACAAACAAACATGTTCAAAATGGGTCCCATGCATGCTTATGTGGACTATGGACTAAATTCATTTGGACTGCCGTACTCTTACTAAACTATACCCAGAAATATTGGAAAAATGATTTTAAAAATGTCATTAATAACCAGATATGACCAGATTATTTCAAAAATAATATGTTAAACCAATATCAACAACTCATCACATTTTTTTTTTTAAATAAGATAGATTCGGTTATTATAAATAATGCGAATGAGGTGGTTGATTACATAATTAAATTCATTAAATCAAACAGTAACTTGAATGCTTTAGATGTCTGCTAGTGAGGCGAGAACCCCTGTGGAGACTATATAGATCATCAGTATATCCCACAAGCTCATTTGCATATCAAATTTCAAATATCAAATGGGCGGCACACACGCTCCATGGGTCATATGACAAGTCAGAATGAATGAATGAGTGACAAATACACGGAATACTACGTTTTATCATATTTTCACACTTGAAATCATTTACAATTATTAAGGTACATGTTTTGAAACAAGGGAATTAAATTTTTTTGATATCCTGAGATACATCTTTTTATTTTATACAGATACAGATAATAAAATGCATACAACCTTTCAGCCACCACTTTTATTTAATTATTTAAAAAAAAAAAAAATAGATTTTCTACAATTCTGACAAAATCCAAGAATTCATCGCCTCATCAAATAATAACTACAGCATAAAGAAAAAGATAGAAATATACAAAAAAAAATTGGAGTGAAAGAATCATACTTTATCATATTGAAACTTTTTACATGTATTTACCATAAACTAATTTATTTGCTTACTATCGTAAACTCAATTTGTAGTATGTCATAATTACACTTAGTATTCTTCCTGATAATTAGCATATTTTTAATTTCACTTTTGTTCCTTATTAAAGCTTTTCGCACATTTAGCAGCTTTATCCCGACACCGGACGCATATAATATCAAAATATTATCTTCTAAAAGCACGCTCACTACTCATCCTCTGGGAACGAAATATTTTCAGCAGATTTACGAGCTTTGATGCACATGCACGCTGAGAGCAGTGCACACGGGTGGCAGCTGTGAGCTGCGTTTATATATATATTATATGATAAGAACAAGGCAATAACAGGGGTAACAATAAAACCTGTCTGTCTGAGCTTCGTTGTAGTCCCATCATTTCCTGGTTGAGAGAAAGTATGAATGAATCGCATTTCCAACCAATTTTGCATTAATGTATTTGCATAGCGAAAGGTGTCATAAAAGACCCTATGCGGCCCTCCGGTACAATCTTTTGTCTGGTACACAATGACTCTCTTACACCTACCATACAATTGACTCCGCAAACAATGCAGGCACTTTTTGTCAGCGCAATAAACTGCACGCACCAAATCATGCATAAAAAATATTGCCGATACTTATGCTCTGTATCTGAATTCGCAAACAAACCGTTACCATTGTTACCACGATATCTTAATTCATACAGTTAAATGTTTAATATTCCCTGCTTGAAATATTTGCTTTTCCATGATTTTGAGTGTTTGTGTGGAAATAAATTTGCAAAAAATACCATGACTCCCCAAGTTACGAACACCAGTAAAATTTAAAATACATTTAAATACAGGGAAAAACGTCCGCAAAATATAATTGTTTGGAAAAAATTAATTTTGGCTAGAAATTATTACAAAAACAAAACAGTAGATTTGTTTCGCTGATACATGTATGAAAGCACTGACTTTGTGAATAATTCAAAAACCTGGTATTACAGCTGTACGTACACTTCACTATACATTGCTAACATGGTTTCATCATGTATTCTTTCAAATTCACATAACAAAGGAAACAAAATGATCTATCGGCATCTACGGTGACATGATTGTTTTCTCCTCATTGTTCAGTGTACAGAGAAGCATAAAAAAAATCAACCTAAACCGATCGAGTTAATCATAGAGATACACGTACAATAACATTTTTAAAATACATCATTATTACTGTCTATAATCTCAAATTCTGTCCTTAAAAAAAGGAAAAAGGTTATTAAGTAATTCAGTATTTTTCATCAAAAACAAAAATTAGTTTTTAATTTATGGAAACTTAATTACAGACTAATTAATATTCGCACATATATAAGGTGCATATACAACAGGCCAGATTGATTCTTGAAATTGTAATTACCGTGAAATTGAATAAATTTCAAGTTTAAGTGCAATGGATTTAAATTCAAATTTAATTTTCGCTTCATTGATGAAATGTCTTCAGAGATAGTTTTTGTGTGGCAAATATCAAAAAAGTGCAATTTTGGATCAATGTGACAGGAAACACATTTCCTCCAGAGGTGACAAAGGCAGGACAATCATTCAGATTGTCTCAAGTCTATGTAAAATACATAAAC